TTTTTATAAATGCGCCAAAAAACAGCACTTTACGCGTCAAGTTATATGTAAAAACTAGATGAATGGGTTGGCTCGACCGTAGTGATACCACGGGCTCACAGAAAACCGACGTGAAACAACCACAGCGTTGTGTTTCGCCGTGTAAGTGAGGTTACCAGAGGCCCAATCCCTCCCCTCCCCCAATCCCAAAATCTCCAAATACGTAATCCACAAAAGGTCGGCAACGCACTTGTAGCTCCTCCATTGTTGCGGCTGTCCATGGGCGGCGCTGTTTGCTTACCATCAGGTACCTAATCCGTTTTCACACCGGTCGAGCCCACACAACTGTGCCTAAATAATAATTTATTTTTCTCTTATCAATATTTATTTGTTTCCAGCTTGCTGGGTGAGGCTGGAGCGATGTGCGCTTTGCAGGGAAGCTCTGCCTTCCAAGAACTCTCCATACGCAAGGAACCTAGTTGCTGAACAGGTGGGTACAAAGATTACATACTTACTTAATTTATTTCTATTTTGTTTTAACTTTAGGTATCTATTTGTAAGAGAAGATTATATATAAATGATAATAAATAATTGAAATTCAACTAATTAAATCAAATTAACACTTCGAACTTAGGCTTTGAGTGAACGGCGCAGCGCGTAAGGTCCGGCAACCGGTTACCGCTTGGGGTTTGAAGGGTTAAAATGGTTTTATATTGTTTTTTTCTTTGAAAACATAAGTTGGCAACCAAACTTATATAGCTACTGACCTACTATAGCTATATTATTTTTTCTTTATATAAGTAGTTCCTTAAAAATAAGTATATAATTAGATATATTGTATAGCTATAGGTGCTTAAAGCTACCTTTTGCCCGATATTTCGAAAGGACCTTGACTCAAACGAAGAAAAAAAGAATCTTCGGATTTGAACAAGGCGATTTAGTGGAAATCGAGTGTTGTAATATTTTAAACTGCACTTTCCAGGTACTCGAAGCGATAGCTGCAGAATACGAGTTGAAAAACACAAAAATAAAGCCCAGGCCTACACAAACAACTTCAGCTTACACGTCGCCAAACCGATCCAGAAACACGTCACCCCGCAGAGGGCAATACCAACACTCAATGATGAACAAATACAAGAAAAACGTACATTTCCCTGAAAAATTCGGCCAAACGTACGCCTCAGATCCTAACATACACAGATCCGTGAATCGAGTTACAGTCAACAATATTACCAATCCTACCAATTCCGCTGAAGCTGGCAACTCTGGATGCAAATGTCAATGTCAAAGTGACAGTTGCGTACCGAAGATGAATGTTGGGAGTGCAGAGGGCGGTAAATGCGCGGGCAGTGATTGTTCCAGTTCATCTCAGAGTTTAAGTATCCCTCACAAGTTAGTTGCGAGGTTGAGGCAAGCGTGTTCCCTGGCAGACCTGAATAATGTTGTGGGGCAATGTTCTATGTCACAGTCATTGAATAACTTGGGCGATAAATGGTCAGTTTGTGTTGTTTTTATCTTTTCTTCTCTCTTATACTTATATAAAACCACCGACCCGCCCCGGCTTCATCTAAAGAAGATGTTAACATATCGATCTGTGTTTGAATATGGTTCATAATGAAGAGTAGGAGAGCCATGCTTCGGCACGAATCGCTCGACCAGAGTGATACCACGGCTTTACAGAAAAAGAGCGTGAAACAACAACACAGCGTTGTGTTTCGTGGTGTGAGTGAGGTTACCGGAGGCCAAATACTTCCCATTCCCCAATCCTAAAATCTCCTAATCTCTAATCCTATCCTAATTTTAGGATAGGTCGGCAAACGAGAAGACGGATTACCTGATGGTAAGCAATCGGCACATCGGCACCGCCCATGTACACCCGCAACACACAAGGAGTTGTTAGTGTGTTGCCAGCCTTTTGGGGATAAGGGTTTCGGATTTTTAAGGATTGGGAAGAGATGGGGAGAGGGAAGGGATTGGGCCTTCCGTAACCACGCTCACACGGAGAAACACAACGCTGTGGTTGTTTCACGCCGTGGTAGTGTCAGTCTCTCACCGATTAAACACCTTGGAAGTCGTAGGTATTTGTGTCTGTATGTACAATCAATGTTACCATACCAAAATTAAACATTTTCATATTTTTCAGCAAAAACTGCCACCACGGGTCTCTGGATAATTTGAAAAATCATTGCAGTAATATTTGTGGTGAGTTTATTTTATTTATTCCTTTTACCTCGCGACGGATTGATTTATGGTATTATTTATTATTATTTACCTAGGATTTTCTCCTGTGTCGTGGGTGCGGTTACAAACATACAATTTCACATACACATCACACACAGACCCACGGAACAACAATTTTTGGAGAGTAGAGTAGTTCCGTCCGGGAATGGAACCCGCGACACGTTGCACGGCAGCCGTTTGCTCAGCCACCGCACCAACCGTGCAGTCTTAGTCTAACTTCAACTTTAGTCTGGTGATATTGAGTGCCCAAATCTCCAATCCCTAAAAGGCCTGCAACGCACTTGTGTGTTGATGAGCGGCGCAGATTGTTTACCGTTAGGTGCTCTGATTATACCATACAAGAAGAGAAGGCAATTGGGAGAACCAAGCTTCGGCACGAATGGTTCGCCTCCATCGAAGTGATACTACTGCCTCACAGAAAACAGATGTGGAACGACCACAGAGTTGTATTTCGTCGTGGGACTGAGGTTAGCCGAGGCCCAAACCTTCCTCTACCTCCACCCCTCCTCAATCTCTAAACCTCTGAAACCCTAATACCCAAAAGGCGCCAATTGCTGATCATCAAGTAACGGTTCAGCGTCTTGCACTGCACATCTGCTATCACATAAAAACAGTGATAGAACGATATCGAATCAAATTTCTTTACACTATTTTTGTATTTTCAAACGCGTTTTTCTAATAATTCATCCTTGTTTACAGATGCCCCAGTGCTCCTGTTACCAGCGCCACCGATTTATGTGTTCGCGTGTGAACATTCCAACAAGGAATGACCAATCCCTCTACCACAGTTAGAAGAGGGGCGACAGAACTATATTGCCCTCTCTTTCCATCATCATGAGTTCCATATTATAGAGAACGAGTCTGTAGCGACATCTATCGGACAACACGCAGCAACAGCACCAATCACATTCAAGTTTGTACATCGCGGTATAACAGTTCTTGACGCGATTAGAACTAATACAAAATCCCGACAACAACCGTCGGGCAGTAGCACGTCTGGTCTCTCATCCTCCCTTTTTAATGGAGGATGAGAGACTTCACACCCTGTTCTTCTCATACATCCAAAAGTCTTTTATACACCAAGCACCTTATACTCTCAAAATAACGTTGCTAAACCGAGAATTGAATTCTCACAAGAATCACTAAATTCACGATCAAACTTATATTTTAGCATATCATTAATATTTATTGTTTTGTAATCCAAATTAAACATAATTGTTGTACGAAGTTTGTTTTTTTTGTACTTTATCAAGTACTCGCCACGGCTTTGCACGGGTGCAGTGAAGATATAATGGATGTCATTATACATATAAACCTTCCTCTTCAATCACTCTATCTATTAAAAAACCGCATCAAAATCCGTTGCGTAGTTTTAAAGGTTTAAGCGTACATAGGGATATAGGGACAGAGAAAGCGACTTTGTTTTATACTATGTAGTGATATCGAGGTAAGCTCGGCAATACTATATCAATTAAATATCAAGATGAATTCTGATTTTATTATGAAGTCCCTGGTACTTGTTTGTGCTGCAGCCTTGGCCTGGAGCTAGAGAAGGAACGCGCTGGCTATTAGTCAGTAAGAGGTCGGGTAAAGTTGATAAATAACTTTCCCCCCTCAATAAAATAATAATAAAATTTATTTATCCACAGTTACATAAAGTTTGCCTTAAAGTTAGTTGCTACTAGGTACAATTATTTGTTGTAACTTTATGTTGTAGCGGACATTGCTTTTTGGAACGGCGGTCCCCAAACTAGGCAAGGCCTGTATCATGGGGTCCCGAGTTGCGGTTACCAAAGAATCTTAGTAGAAAAGTCGGTCGGAACGTGTGTGGTGCATTTGTTGTGGACAGAAATAAAAACTTAAACAAAACATTCTATAAAATACAAATAAAAAAAACTTAATATTAAACTAGGTAATTGAAACATGTTTTTTAAATAAATATTGTCAATGAATGGATGAAATGGCGACAGGTCACTGGAACAACTTGCGACCCACGGATGCCCCTCAGGTTGAAGGGTAAAATCTACAAGTCAGTGATAAGGCCTGTCCTACTGTATGGGTCAGAATGTTGAAAAGACGGATGAAAAGCGATTGCATGTAGCAGAGATGAGAATGCTGAGATGGATGTGTGGTGTGACGAGATTGGATAAAGTGAGAAATGAGTATATTAGAGGAAGTTTGAAAGTGGCGCCAGTGACTGAAAAGTTGAAAGGGAACCGTTTGTCTTGGTATGGCCATGTGAAAAGGAGGGATGAAAAGCATGTAACAAAAAGAGTCATGAGTATAAATGTGGATGGATGGAGAGGGAGGGGGAGACCAAAGAAAATATGGATGGATTGTGTGAGAAGTGATATGGAAGACAGAGGAGTTAGCGATAGCGTGACGAGTGACAGGACAGAATGGAAGAAAAAAACATATTGCGCCGACTCCAAATAAAACGGGACAAGGGCAGGAAGATGATGATGATGTAAGAAATTTTAAATTTATTCGAGCTTAGCTTATCTATCAGTCTCAATTTGATACTTGTGTGCGTGTGCGTGTGTGAGTGTGTGTGTGTATGTGTGTGTGTGTGTGTGTGTGTGTGTGTGTGTGTGTGTGTGTGTGTGTGTGTGTGTGTGTGTGTGTGTGTGTGTGTGTGTGTGTGTGTGTGTGTGTGTGTGTGTGTGTGTGTGTGTGTGGGCGCGCGGGGTGTGATAGTGCGGCCTTTCGAGTGTAGATTGTGTTGTGAAAATATTTTCTGTGTCTTCGTACGAAAGTTCCTTTTGATTGATTGGATATTTATGGACTGGGAGAAGGGAAGGATTGGGTCTCAGGTAAAATCACTCACGCGGCGAAACACAACGCTGTGATTGTTTCACGCTGGTTTTCTACAAACAACTGACTTATGCAAACATTGTGACGCGATAGCATCATAATTATTCCCCAGGTAACTTTTATCAAACCTGTAAAAACTGTGCTGAAAAAAAAGAAAATCCCCGACCCAAATAAAGTCCTGTAATACTTAATATATTTGTATATTAACAGTTTTACAATCACTTTTACAAAGAATAGTCACAAGTTACAAAAGTTTTACAGGATGAGGTTACACACACTAAGATAAAACACAAAACTAAGCGGGAAGAGTCATGGAAGGGGATCGTGTCGGTGGCTGCACAGAGAACTATATACTAGCGCTGGCTGCCGGCAAGAGAACGGTTGGCTAGCGTGCGTCTTGACGAGTCGTGTGGGCTTAGGAGCGCCGCGGCGACTTACGCATGCGCGTGGGATCGTAGGTTCGGGCGGCTGAGTGCCGATAGCGCGGGAGCGGAAACCTACCTACCGCTGGTCCTCGCGTGTAATCATTATTTGTCCAGTTGCCGTGGAGCTGCGGCGGCGGGGCCCGCGGGGAGCGGTCCCGGCGCGCGCTGGCGGGCGCGGTGCGCGCGCTGGCGTGCTGTGTGTGCGCCTCCACCGCCACCACGCCGCTGTCCTGCGCGCGCTCACATCTTTACTGCGAACGTAAGTCTATACACATCACCCTATAACTGCCCACTGCTCACCAAACGCCTCTTCTCACACCCAGAAGGTTTCAGCTTTTACTAGGCTTGCCCAAGGCAGATTGGCGATTTCAAAAGTCCAGGCTTCCTCACGATCGGAGCGGTCAGTGCGTAGCGTTCCGCGCGCGCCTCAAAGACCCAATAGACCAGCACAGACGGGGTCCTATAGTGCTGATGGTCAGCCAGGATTGCGGGGTAAGCGCAATGAGGCACCGAAGCCTTGAGCAGGGGAAGGGACAAGGGGGTTTTAGTCAATAAGAGTCTGACAATCCCTCCCGCCCGGCCCTTTTTTTTGGGAGGGGAAATGTCCTGGTCCTGGGCGGCAGAAGTCATTTGATGATTTTCCTCTTACGAAGAAGGCTTCCTCACGATGTTTACCTTCACCGTATGTCAGTGGTGTCTTAATAATCATAGAAAGTACATATAACTCGGATAAAGTCACGTAATTATAGTAAATAAAAAAACCATGCTTCAGCACGAATGGAACAATGAAACAATGAATTTATTTTTGTAAATAGGCCATAAAATAGCACTTTTATGCGTCAAGTTATATGTAAAAACTAGATGAATGGGTCGGCTCGACCGGAGTGATACCACGGCCTCACAGAAAACCGATGTGAAACAACCACAGCGTTGTGTTTCGCCTTGTAAGTGAGGTTACCAGAGGCCCAATCCCTCCCCTCCCCTAATCCCAAAATCTCCAAATCCGTAATCCACAAAAGGTCGGCAACGCACTTGTAGCTCCTCCATTGTTGCGGCTGTCCATGGGCGGCGCTGTTTGCTTACCATCAGGTACCTAATCCGTTTTCACTCCGGTCGAGCCCACTCAACTGTGCCTAAATAATAATTTCTTTTTCTCTTATCAATATTTATTTGTTTCCAGCTTGCTGGGTGAGGCTGGAGCGATGTGCGCTTTGCAGGGAAGCTCTGCCTTCCAAGAACTCTCCATACGCAAGGAACCTAGTTGCTGAACAGGTTGGTACAAAGATTATGTACTTATTTTATTTTTAGATTATTTTAAGGTTATTTGTAAGGTTTAAAACGTTAAGGAATACTTAATTAAAATTTAAAACTTTAAGTTAGTTAATTAAGGGCTGATTTTTCAATAGTCAGATAAATGTAATCAGTCTGCGGAATAAAATTGTTGCTGTCACTGTCTTATACAAACATTGTGACGCGACAGCATCATAATTATTCCGATGGTAACTTTTATCTAACCATTGAAAAATCAGCCCTAAGTGAAATAAAAATGGTTTTATTAGTACTTACATATTGTTTTTTGCTTTGAAAATATAAGTTTCGTAACCAAACGAAATTGGATTTTTCTCAACGATTGGTAAACTTATATACTTAAGACCTACTATAGCTATATTAATTTGAATATATAAAAGTAGCTTAAAAATAAGTAAATAATTAGATATATTGTATAGCTGTAGATACCTAAAGCCGTCTTTTGCCCGATATTTCGAAAGGACCTTGACTTAACCGAAGAAGAAAGAATCTTCTGATTTGAACAAGGCGATTTAGTGGAAATCGAGTGTTGTATTATTTTAAACCTCACTTTCCAGGTACTCGAAGCGATAGCTGCAGAATACGAGTTGAAAAATACAAAAATAAAGCCCAGGCCCACACAAACAACTTCAGCTTACACGTCGCCAAACCGATCCAGGAACACGTCACCCCGCAGGGGGCAATACCAACACTCAATGATGAACAAATACAAGAAAAACGTACATTTCCCTGAAAAATTCAGCCAAACGTACGCCTCAGATCCTAACATACACAGATCCGTGAATCGAGTTACAGTTAACAATATTACCAATCCTACCAATTCCGCTGAAGCTGGCAACTCTGGATGCAAATGTCAATGTCAAAGTGACAGTTGCGTGCCGAAGATTAATGTTGGGAGTGCAGAGGGCGGTAAATGCGCGGGCAGTGATTGTTCCAGTTCATCTCAGAGTTTAAGTATCCCTCACAAGTTAGTTGCGAGGTTGAGGCAAGCGTGTTCCCTGGCAGACCTGAATAATGTTGTGGGGCAATGTTCTATGTCACAGTCATTGAATAACTTGGGCGATAAATGGTGAGTTTGTGTTGATTTTCTTTTCTTCTCTCTTATAGTTTTGTAAAAATCTGCGACTTACCCCAGCTTCACCCAAAGAATGGAAACATATCGATCTGTGTTTGAATATGGTTCATAATGAAGTGTAGGAGAGCTATGCTTCGGCACGAATGGGTCGGCTCAACCGGAGTGATACCACGGCTTTACAGAAAAACAGCGTGAAACAACAACACAGCATTGTGTTTTGCCATGTGAGTGATGTTACCGGAGTCCTCAACAATCCTAAAATCTCCTAATCCCTAATCCTATCATATTTTTGGGATAGGTCGGCAAACGAGTAGACGCATTACCTGATGGTAAGCAATCGGCGCATCGGCGCCGCTTATGTACACCCGAAACACACAAGGAGTTGTTAGTGTGTTGCCAGCCTTTTGGGGATAAGGGTTTCGGATATTTAAGGATTGGGAAGAGATGAGGAGAGGGAAGGGTTTGGGATTCCTCCGGTAACCTCGCTCACACGGCGAAAAACAACGCTGTGGTTGTTTCACGCCGTGGTAGTTTCAGTCTCGCACCGATTAAACACCTTGGAAATCGTAGGTATTTTTGCCTGTATGTACAATCAGTGTAACCATACTAAAATCAAACATTTTCATTTTTTCAGCAAAAACTGCCACCACGGGTCTCTGGATAATTTGAAAAATCATTGCAGTAATATTTGTGGTGAGTTTTTTTAATTATTCCTTTTACAACGCGACGGACTGATTCTATGGTACTCTTTATTATTACTTTTTTTAAAAAAAAAAAACATTGGAACACTAGGATTTTCTCCTGTGTCGTGGGTGCGGTTACAAACATACAATTTCACATACACATGACACCCAGACCCACGGAACAACAAATTTTGGATCACACAAAGAGTAGTTCCGTGCGGGAATGGAACCCGCGACACGTTGCACGGCAGCCATTTGCCCAGCCACTGCACCAACCGTGCAGTCTTAGTCTAACTTTAACTTTAGTCTGGTGATGTTGAGTGCCCAAATCTCCAATCCCTAAAAGGCCAGCAACGCACTTGTATGTTAATGAGCGGCGCAGATTGTTTACCGTTAGGTGCTCTGATTATACCATACAAGAACAGAAGGCAAGAGGGAGAGCCAAGCTTCGGCACGAATGGGTCGGCTCCATCGGAGTGATACTACTGCCTCACAGAAAACCGACGATTTGACTGCACGGTTGGCGCGATGGCTGGGCAACTGGCTGCCGTGCAACGTGTCGCGGGTTCGATTCCCGCACGGAACAACTCTTTGTGTGATCCACAAATTGTTGTTCCGGGTCTGGGTGTGATGTGCATGTGGAATTGTATGTTTGTAAACGCACCCACGACACATGAGAAAATCCTAATGTGGGGCAACGTTTTTAAAAAAAAGAAAAAGAAAAGAAAGAAAGAAAAAAACCGATGTGGAACGACCACAGCGTTGTGTTTCGTCGTGGGACTGAGGTTAGCGGAGGCCCAAACCTTCCCCTTTCCCCACCACTGCTCAATCTCTAAACCTCCGAAACCCCAATACCCAAAAGGCGCCAATTGCTGACCATCAAGTAACGGTTCAGCGTCTTGTACTGCACATCTTCTATCACATAAAAACAATGATAGAACGATATCGAATCAAATTCCTTTACACTATTTTTGTATTTTCAAACGCGTTTTTCTAATAAAACATCTTTGTTTGCAGATGCCCCAGTGCTCCTGTTACCAGCGCCACCGATTTATGTGTTCACGTGTGAACATTCCAACAAGGAATGACCAATCCCTCTACACAGTTAGAAGAGGGGCGACAGAACTATATGACCCTCTCTTTCCATCATCATGAGTTCCATTATAGGGAACGAGTCTGTAGCGACATCTATCGGACAACACGCAGCAACAGCACCAATCACATTCAAGTTTGTACATCGCGGTATAACAGTTCTTGACGCGATTAGAACTAATGCAAAATCCCGACAACAACCATCGGGCAGTAGCCCACCAGACTTAATACCTCGTCTGGTCGAAGGATCCTCCCTTTTCAATGGAGGATGAGGGATTTTACAATCTCTCATCCCTCTTAAAGTCTTTTATACACCAAGCACCTTAGAGGTACTCTCAAAATAACTTTGCTAAAACCGAGAATTGAATTCTCACAGGAAGTACTAAATTCACGATCAAACTGATATTTTAGCATATCATTAATATTTATTGTTTTGTAATCCAAAATAAACATTACATAACATAACGAAATTAGTTTTTTTTTTGCACTTTATCAAGTACTCGCCACGGCTTTGCACAGTAGCAGTGAAGATATAATGGATGTCATTATACATATAAACCTTCCTCTTCAATCACTCTATCTATTAAAAAACCACATCAAAATCCGTTGCGTAGTTTTAAAGATTTAAGCGTACATAGGGATATAGGGACAGATAAAGCGACTTTGTTTTATACTATGTAGTGATATCGAGGTAAGCTCGGAAATACCTATATCAATGAAATATCAAGATGAATTCTGATTTTATTATGAAGTCCCTGGTACTTGTATGTGCCGCAGCCTTGGCCTGGAGCTAGAAAAGGAACGCGCTGGCTATTAGTCTGTAAGAGTTCCTCTCGCTGCACTCAGGTCGGGTAAAGTTGATTAATAACTTTTAGGCACTCAATAAAAGTAAAAAAGTAGTTTTGTATAAGTAATTAGTAGAACTTATAAATTATTTTTCGTGAATTAATTAAGTGTTAGCAAAATATATTCTGTTTAATCTTAATTTAAGCTAATTATACTAGTTTATTGCATGCCCAATTATGATGTCTAACTTATTCACAACAATAAGTTCAACATGTCTCACGGAGTTACGTATAACAAGTAAAGACTTTTCAAACAGTGTTGCCAATAAAGTCTTAAAAGGACATGGCCAAAAAAGTACATTCCACGTACACGAACAAAATTAATACATTGTAAAATACAAATAGAAATATGAATTATTACGTAGTTTTTAGCCTCTCCAGACTTGACAATTATTATTAAAAAAATGTAAAATTAATGCAACAAAATCAACTTCGTTTGTCAAGTTTCGCCATAATAGTTCATAGAGAAAGATAAATAAAAAGACGTTCCAATTCCAAACCACGTGTCTTAAACTACACTCGTAGAAAACGTGTGATATGATCGACAAATGCATTACACTAGGAACATTTTATTCATACGAAACTGTATTCATTGGTTTTAGTTGCATTTTAAAATATACTCATAGTATGATAATGTTATGTTTTATTTTTATCCAATTCACCAAAAAAATAACTTAAACGAAACGGAACGTGTTTGGCACTTTTGACAGCGTGTTTTTGTTTACCTTGCTAATAATACTGGAGTAACTGTTTTGCGTTTTGGATTTGTTTTGTGGATTACGATGAGGTGCATCAACTGCGGAATAGGCGTACAAAGGTTGCAGATGCGTCTTATATCCTCGCTTTCTGCACTCCATCAAACAAAACTTTCACGTTGGTTAATCAGCTCAAACCCAGGTATGAAGTCGGAATATATAATACTTAGTCTGTTTTTTTTATGTTTTATCATGGTATGCGATTTTAAATAGTGCATCTTTTTTTTAGTTGCCTCTGGGGACATTAATTTGTCAACCACGCTTCTTATTATTGAATACTGAGGCTGGTGAACATGAGAGACTACTGGGGCATAACATGGCTTGCCTTGGTTGTGGAAAATCGGTTCGAAAAATAAGACACCATAATGTCAGTATGGACTCTCCATTGCTAGCTGGCCTAATATCACAAAATACTATTAATGTGGTAAGCATTTTGTTTTTTATTCATTGTTTTATACATGTACTTGTATTTCTCTATATTAATCTATAAAAAAGTACTCATAGTAGGTATGTGTGATTATAATATCTATCTTTATGTATTTTCCATGTTTGCATAGACTTCTTTAAAATAGGCATGTTGTAACATAATACTTCTCACTGTACAATAACATAAAACTTGAAAACATGTGTTTATTCTAACTGGGGTTTATTTTCAGACCTCAAGAAGCAACTATGTTTGTCATGTGTGCTGTATGCAGGCAAATAGACAGACAGTGCAGGACTTATCACGAAACTTGCAGGAATTGGGTTCGGACAACAATGCAGCAGCCCCTTATATTTAAGTGGTTAGCCCACCAGAGCCACCACCATTACCACCTGTGTTAAGCAGGCCGCTTCAAATCTTCAGGCCGGAAAGTACTACCATATTATTACCCGATTATACAGAATATATATTAAAGAAACGTACAATCCATACACAAACATAATAAAATACACTGTATAATAAAAATATAAAAGTGAATTATTACGTAGTTTTATTTTATTTGTTCTCCTTAATAACTAAATCATTATTCTTTATACATATTCTTTTGTTTTATTTTATAAATAAATAAATAAATAATTAAAACGCCAACGCCGGTTTTTAAAAGCAAAATCCTATTTCGTGCACTTATGGTCAGTAATCTGACTAAAGGTTTAGTGAAACTATTTTCGTCTTGTTTGTTATAATTACGAGTTCTTCATGTGTTTTATTTTTTGCAATTTAATTTAATAATATTCACGAATGTAAACACCAAAAATCATTGATGTACATTGAATTCAATAACTATGCAAACGCCCATACAAAAGTTGGCCATGTCCTTTCTACCATTTGTTTAGATCGCAAAACTTAGGTAGATCAGAGTCAAAATCATTTATTCCAACTAAACCATAAACAGGTACTTTTGAAATGTTAAAATAGAATAGTATAGTATACTAGCTTCCGCCAGCGTCCACCCGCATGGTATGTTGATAAAAAGTAGCCTTTGTCCTATTCCGGAGTGTATCCTACGCCTGTACCAAAGTTCATCTAGATCCGTCCAACCGTTTTAGCGTGATTGAGTCAAAAAACATCCAAACATCGTAACTTTCGCATTTATAATATTCGTAAGATAATAATTGTCTGCACAATTGGCTGGGAAACTGGCTGCTGCGCAACGTGTCGCAGGTTCAATTCCCGCACGGAACTAAACTTTGTGTGCTCTACAATTTGTTTTCAGGTCTGATGTGTATGTGAAATTGTATAAGTATTTGTAAACGAACCCACAACATAGGAGAAAATCCAAAATTAGGACAACGTTTAAAAACAACAAAGTAGTCAGTCAGTCTGTTCGTCAGTGAAGCTAGGTGCTCGTTCCAAAGTGTAGACTCGAATGGAAAAGAACGAGCAACAACCTCCATAATATCTTATCAAAACTCCAAAAGGGAAGAACTTCGTCTATAAAGGTAACCCCGCCACGTGCTGTCCCTCTCCCACCATCTTCGAGCGTTGACATATCGGTAGAAACACACATCATCAGCCTATAAGTGCGCACTGCTGACCAAAGACCTCTTCTCACACGGAGAAGGTTTGAGCTTAAACCACGCTTGCACAAGACCGATTGGCGATTTCAAACTTACAATTAGAAATTACAAGTCCAGGTTTCCTCACGATGTTTTCCTTCACCGTATGTCAGTGGTGTCTAAATAATCATAGAAAGTACATATAACTCGGAAAAAGTCACATTGGTACTTGTTAAGTTTTGAAACCGCTCCCTCATGCATGAGAAGCGGGCACCAGGCCACCACGACGCTAATTCTGAATTCTGAATACAGATATATTCTTACCTTTATGATTAGTCCACGAACATTTCAAAATCTTAAAAGTAATTTTGAGGGAAATAAAAAACTAAAATTATGATACAAAAATATTTTATTTTCAAACACAATCAGTTCACAATTTATTTATTTATACATACACACATAATTAATATCCCAAATATAAGTACCTACAGCGAAAAAACTATATATTACTAAAAACACATAAGTACGTATCGCCTGGACAGTCCACGCTACCATCAGTTGACTGGACAATCTCTACACTACACGAGTCACTGTTTACATGTCACCATTAGCTCATGACGATACCTAAGTACGTATCGCCTGGACAGTCCACGCTACCATCAGTTGACTGGATAACAGCTTACCATCGGGTACTGAAAGTCAGTTTTGAATTGATATTATAAAAGAAATCGTTTCAATGAGATCATATTTTTGTTATATAAGAATGAATATTAATAATATATAGAAATGCTTATTAGAATTACAATTGATTACTAGTACAATAAAATAAACCTAACTTCTCAATGCACACATCATCAGCCCATAAGTGCCCACTGCTGACCAAAGGCCTCTTCTCACACGGAGAAGGTTTGAGCATTAACCACCACGCTTGCTCAAGGCAGATATGTCGGCAAACGAGCAGACGGATTACCTGATGGTAAGCAATCGGCGCCGCCCATGGATACGTTCAACACCAGAGAAGTTACGAGTGCGTTGTCGGCAATTTTTTGATTGGATATTTATGGACTGGGAGAAGGGAAGCATTGGGTCTAAGGTAACCTCACTCACACGGCGAAACACAACGCTGTGGTTGTTTCACGGCGAAACACAACGCTGTGGTTGTTTCACGCCGGTTTTCTGTGAGGCCGTGGTAAGCATTTATTTCTTTAAAATTAGCTAGAAAACTACGAATTACAAGTGTATCGTAAAATAAATAAACTAAAGTTGATTATGTTTTTAATAATAATTATTAACTTATTTTTGACTAAGAAAAGTAGTCAATATGGTACTTTCCAATTGCTGCTTCTAAACCGGAGTGATACCACGGCCTCACAGAAAACCGTGTAATGTGATGATGTGAGAAATACGTGTGTCTATGAGCGGCGCTGATTGCTTACCATCAGGTAATCCCTCTGCTCGTTTGTCGAACTAGCATAATAAAAAAATATAAAACCTAATAGTCTCTCTGTAATACAATTCAAATTACTATTTCGTTGTATAAATATGTGAGTGCGTGTCACAACATGGCACACAGATTTAATGGCCCCGTATTTTCGATGGGCCCAAGTGGCCTACATATTTCAGGGCCCCTGACACTTAGTCAGGGGCCCGTGGTTTTAGGTACTACATATTTTAGGGCCCCGAATATATAGGTGTGACTATTGATTAGTGACCGATATTTGAACACGTGTTTGTGCTCATAATAACAAACAACTTTCCCAATGAAACAATTTTTCTATACTCAATGACGAGAAGGTTTGAGAACCGAAACGCTTGCTCAATGCGGGTTGGCGATTCAAACTTATAATTAGAAATTATAAGTCCAGGTTTCCTCACGATGTTTCCCTTCACCGTATATCAGTGGTGTCTAAATAATCATTGAAAGTACATATAACTTGAAAGAAGTCATTGGTACTTGCCAGGTTTCGAATCCTCATGCATGAGAAGCGGGCGCCTTAACTTCCGGGCCACCACGATCTTTCTCGTGTGTAAATATCTATCACTAATCACCAATCATCCTATATATTTAGTTCTTAATGTTACAACAGTTCGGGGCCCGCGAATTTTCGGTACCCAAAGCTTTTAAGGCTCCATTGCTATTAAGGGCCCGGTGTTTGGGTCCCACAGATTTCAGGGCCCCGCGGTGACTTGGAAGTAGACATCGCAGGGTTGTCGCCAGGTATCTGCTGCTATCGGGGGGTCCGGCTTAAATACATTCACTCTTGATGACTGGACATCTATTATCGCGACTGGTTTAACCTGTAAGAACGAGAATTGTGTTTAAAAATACATCATAACATTATATAAGTGTGGGAGAGCCAAGTTTCGGCACGAATGGGTCGGCTCGACCGGAGTGATACCACGGCCTCACAGAAAACCGGCGTGATACGACCACAGCGTTGTGTTTCGCCGTGTGAGTGAGGTTATCGGATCCAATCCCTCCCGCTCCCCATCTCCCATCCCTTGCCAATCCTTAAATATCCGAAACCCTTAACCTCAAAAAGTCGGCAACGCACTCGTAACTCCTTTTGGGTTGCGGATGTCACGGCGCTGATTGCTTACCATCAGGTAATTCTTAAGCTCGTTTGCCGACCTGTACCACAAAAAATAACAGTTAATATTGAATGGTGAGAATATATTGGAAACGAAAAGGTGGATTTTAGTATTCAAACACACAGGAATTAAAAGTTTTCTCTTTCAATTTCAAAGATTGCGCACATAGAATCCCACTAGTTCTTTCCACTATACTAAAACCAGACAATCTCCAATACGTCATCGCTTCATAGTAGATATCCCACCCACTCTTCGACTGGCCTTCAGTTTCTTCATCAGAACCGCTAAGGAGTGGAATTCTTTGCCGGAGTCTTTGTTCCCCGAAGGGTATAACCTGGGTGTCTTCAAGGCCCGAGTGAATAGGTTGCTTATGGGTAGGCGTTCTCCATCGTAGGTCGCATCATTGCTTACCACCAGGCCAAAGCAATTGGGAATAAAAATATTGTTTAAGCAGTAAGCTACATTTTAAAGTATGGTAATTGGTAAGTTACACTATGAAGTATGGTAATTGGTAAGTTACACTATGAAGTATGGTAATTGGTAAGTTACACTATAAAGTATGGTAAAAAATAACGTTTTAATTTTCTTCCTTTCAAATAATATCTTCTGATTTATTTCGTTGCGGGATCCAAGACAGTCATTCATGTCACTGGGACGCGGCGGACTTCAGTGTTTCGGTGTTTTCATAGTTGTATCTAGTGTAGATCCTGGTGCACAGGACTTACAGCGTTTTTGGGAGGGGAAAATCATCAAATGACTTCTCCCGCCCAGGGTGGGGCGGGAGGGAGTGTCAGACTCTTACTGACTACAAACCCCCCGTTTCTTCTCCTGCTCTGGGCCGAGGTCGCGGTGCCTCATTGCGCTTACCCCTCCACCCCGGCTGAACATCAGCCCTATAGGGCCCCGTCTGTGGTGGTCTATTGGCTCTTTGAGGCGCGCGCGGAACGCTACGCGCCGTACGCTCAGCTAAAATTAGTTACCTTAGCAGTCCGGCGCAGCTTAAGATGAACGAGCTTGACGTGGGTCCGCATGGCCGTACGCTGCGTGAACCGACGCCCGCAGTGTGCACACTCGAACGGTTTTTCACCTGTGTGCGTGCGAGCGTGGTTCACTAGAACGCTTTTACCCTGGGGGAAGATTTATTTATTTAGTGTAGGAGAGCCATGCTTCGGCATGAATGGGTCGGCTCGACCGGAGTGATACCACGGCCTCACGGAATACCAGCATGAAACAAAATTTATATTGTGTTGCACCGTGTGAGTGAGGTGTAATCCTATCCCTTGATCTTGATAAAGGTACTTGCATATTTACTCCTCCTAATTCCTGATACTCCTTTGGTATTATCAGTGTATATGGGCGGTGCTGATTGCTTACCATCAGGTAATCCGTCTGCTCGTTTCGACAATAACAAACAAAAAAATAAACAAATTATTTTGAGGCTTAGTTTTCAGAACCGGTCAAAGAGTTGAATTCTTAGAGACGGATCACGACACATAGATTACCTGATGGTAAGTAATCCGCGTCGCAAGGACACTTGTAACACCAGACAGGTTGCAAGTGCGTTGCTAGCATTTGGGGGTTAGAGATTTCAGGATTTAAGAATTGGGTATTGGGGTTACGGTATTGGAGATGGAGATTGGGGATTGGAGGTATGAAATTGACCATTGGGATTGGAGGTAGAACTTAACCATTGGGATTGGTGATTGGATATTGGAGATTGGAGATTGGAGATAGGGACGAAGGGGTGTCATGCGTCCGGAATACTGTTATTTAACGTAAAAGAATATAATTGAATAGCGACTCACCCTAAAAGCTTTCCCGCAGGTGTCGCAGACGTGTCGAGGCGGGGGCCGGAGTCCCATATGGACAGAGTGCATATGTTTAGCCAGCGAGGATCGCGTCGCGAGCGCAGCCCCGCAGTCCCCGCAGACGTGGGGGCGGTGCCCCTCGTGCTGGACGCGGACATGCGCCGCCAGAGACTGGGCACACGCGTACCGGGCCGGACAGCGGCTACAAGCGTGCCTTTAGTTTTACGAAGAAAAAAATATTATAAATATTACAAATAAAGGGAAGTAATACATTAAAAATTTAAAAATTCCCGACAAAAAATCTAATATTCCTTTAAAAAGTCATCAACATTCCCTTTCAGTGCGCTTTCATTTGAGACCCCACTCGAGTGTATTTGCAGACCTTCGGTTACCCTTCCCCACTTACCCCCCCATAACTTCTAAACGGCTCAAACGATTTTCGTCAAACATGTCTAAGAACACTCGCACGTAAGTCACCTTTAATACAAAAAAAAATTGAAATCGCTTCATCCGTTTAGGCTCCAGGATGCCACAGACAGACAGACAGACAGACAGACAGACAGACAGACAGACAGACAGAGAGACAGGCAGACAGACAGACAAACAGACACGTCAAACTTATAACACCCCTCTTTTCCCGTCGGGGGTTAAAAACAGAAGCTATCAATTTATAAATCCTACTAGGTATAATTATATTTTATAACTTACTTAAAGCTCTGCTTGTCTCTGTGTTTCAAACTTCTCGTTAGATGCGTTCGCAAATTGTGAGCCGATTTGAATCTGTCAACAATAATATTATAAATTAGAGTAGAGTGATACCACGGCCTCACAGAAAAACCGGCGTGAAACAACCACAGCGTTGTGTTTCGCCGTGTGAGTGAGGTTATTGAAAGCACTAATCCCTCCCCTATCCTTAATTCCCCAAATCTCAAATCCTTTGATCCCTGACCACTCACAAAGGCCGGTGGGGTAATAATACCACGGCCTCACAGTCACTCTGTGTAAGTCAGTGAGCTTATCTGTAAACCCCCCAAATCCCCAAATCGCTAACCCCCCATAAGTATGGTAAAGCATTTGTAGCTTCCTTGGTATTCCTTTTGTGATCTCCCCCCCCCCCACACCTAAAACTCCAAATTTCCAAAAAGCCGTTAGTTAAAACACTCCAAACGTCATCTGGCATTCTTACCATCTACCTTGCTTACCATCAAGTGATCCATCTGCTCATTTGCCGTGAGGTAATCAGAGGCCCAATCCTTCCCCTCCCCGATATCTAAATCTCAAAACATTTGTAACTCCTTCGGTGTTTCGAATATCCTTGGACTGATACCAAGGCACATCAGAATACTCCTGTAAAATAACACTTACGTCGTATTTCTGACTGAAGTTATCGGAGACCCAATCCTTAGTTCCATCCACAACCTCCAAATTATTAAGGATAAAATTGTGGGGCACCCGGAAAAGGGTCGACAACGCACTAGTAATTCTTTAGGTCTTATGAATGTCCATGGGCGGCGCTGATTGCTTACCATGATAAAAGTCAAAAGTGCCCACTGCTGAGCAAAGGCTTCTTCCCACACGGAGAAGGTTTGAGCATTAACGACCACGCTTGCTCAAAGCGGATTGGCGATTTCAAACTTATAATTAGAATTATAAGTCGAGGTTTCCTCACGATGTTTACCTTCACCGTATGTCAGTGGTGTCTAAATAATCATAGAAAGTACATATAACTCTGACTGAGTCAATTGGTACTTGCCAGGTTTCGAACCCTCATGCATGAGAAGCGGGCGGCTTAACCTCCGGGCCACCACGGCGTTACTGCTGATTGCTTACCATCAGGTAATGCGTCTGCCCGTTTGCCGATGATTAAAAAAAAGGAATGGCTTACCTTTTTTTTGAGAGTGTCAGACTATTACTGGCTAAAAACCCCCTGTTCCTTCCCTTGCTCTGGGCCGAGGTAGCGCTGCCTCATTGCGCTTACCCCTCCACCCCGGCTGAACATCAGCCCTATAGGGCCCCGTCTGTGGTGGTCTATTGGCTCTTTGAGGCGCGCGCGGAACGCTACGCGCCGTACGCTCGGGAGGAATGGCTTACCTGACATCACATTCGACGCAATAGAACTCCTTGACATCCGTGTGAGTCATTTGGTGGTGATTAATTTGTGTCCTAGTTCGAAACCGCTTATTGCATATAGAGCATTCATAATTCTTTATACCTAGGTGTATTCTGAAACAATATCAAACAAAATCTTTTATAACCTAAAATAAATAGGTACTTTTGAAACGTCAACATAGAATAGTAGTCAGTCAGTCAGTCAGTTCGTCAGTGAAGCTAGGTGCTCGTTCCAAAGTTTAGACTCGAATGGAGAAGGACGAGCAACAAACTCGATAAAAATTATTATCGTTCACATTTACTGTTTATGAGTAAGAGCTCTGATTGTGGATCGAAAATTGTCGAGCATGCTCGAAAAGTTACGTGATTAATTTTGTACTGTCATGATAACTTTTTTTTTGACGAAGGAAAATCATTGATTGATTTCTCTCGCCTAGGGTATGGACAAAATTACTATCGATTCTGTTACTGTTCATAATTAAGAGCTCCGGTTGTGGATCGAAAGAAGTCGGGCATGCTCGAAAAGTTACTAGAGTGTACAGGATCATTGTCAAATTAATTTCATATTCTCATAAAAACTTTTTGTAAGAAGGGAAAATTATCAAATGACTTATCTTGCATCAAGGTACGGCGAGAGGGAGAGTCAGACTCTTACTGACTAAAAACCCCCCCGTTCCTTCTCCTTTTCTGATAACTAATATCGAATTTTAAAACTAATCAAATTAATCTATCTCTGTGCCAAATTACATTCAGATCCGTTCAGTAGTGTTTACGTGAGAGAGTAACAAACATACATCCGTACTTACACACTTACACCCGGTTTCTGAAAGGCTTGTCAACGCTAATCTCCTGTTAAATCTCTTGTCAAGTCATCAGATTGGTTGTTGATAATTCAGTCAACCGATCAGATGACTTGACAAGAGATTAAATTGATTTTAACATTGATCGGCCTTTCGAAAACTGGTTGTAAAGCGTTTATAATTAATTTACTAGCTTTCAACCGCGGCTTCGCCCACTTATATTGATAAAAAGTAACCTACAAGGGTATGACTTATCTACATACCAAATGGATAGTAACGACCCGCCCCGGTTTCGCACGGTTGCAATGCCGATACTAAATGTCTCCACTATTTAATGGATGTCATTATACATATAAACCTTCCTCTTCAATCACTCTGTCTATTAAAAAACCGCATCAAAATCCGTTGCGTAGTTTTAAAGATTTAAGCGTACATAGGGATATAGGGACAGAGAAAGCGACTTTGTTTTATACTATGTAGTTATTGTACTTACTGTTGATGTTCGACTAAGGAGTCCTTATTAATAAATGTTTTCCCGCATTGATCACACTTGGGTCGATCCCCGCCGTGGTGGTTCCGCATATGACCTCTGTGAGTTTTGTTGTTACTACAAAGCGAAAATAAAATATTAAAAATTATTACGTATGGGTCGGCTCGTGGCATTTGATGCTCTCATTACGGAGCTACCCTCAGGAACCTTCGCTTTTTTTTTTATGTAATAGGTCGGCAAACGAGCAGTCGGATTACTTGATGGTAAGCAATCAGCGCCGCCCATGGACACTCGCAACGGAGGAGTTACGAGTGCGTTGCCGACCTATTAGGGATTAGGGATTGAGGAGGGATTGGGAGAGGGGAAGGATTGGGCCTCCGGTAACCTCATTCACACGGCGAAACACAACGCTGTGGTTGTTTCACTTTTTCGCTGTGCGGGTTTTCTGTAAGGCCGTGGTATCACTTCAAAACTTCGCTGGTCTGCCAAGTTGAAGATCCTCAATATATGGGGGAATAACTTCAGTAACGTCGAAGTGGATTCTTTGCAGGGTAAGTGGTTTTGAATAGTTTAGTTTTTAAGTATGGGAGAGCCAAGCTTCGGCACGAATATGTCGGCTCGACCGGAGTGATGCCACGGCCTCACAGAATACCGGCACGAAACAACCACAGCGTTGTGTTTCGCCGTGTGAGTGAGGTTCTCGGACGCCTTATCCTTACCCCTCCATCCATCCCATCCCTCCCCAAAAGGGCGGCAACGAAGTTATAACTCGCGATAAGGCCCATGGACAACAACATTACATTAAAAACAATCATAAAAAACATTACCATCATTTTTTTAAACGATTCAGTTGATAACCTGATGGTAAGCAATCATCGCCGCCCATGGACACTTTCATTACTAAAGTAGTTACTACAAGTGTGTTGTCGGACTCTTGTGGGTCCCTCAAATCCCTTATCCTTAAATCCCTAATAGGGATTTAAGGATAAGGGATTTGAGGGTTGATGGTGGGGGGAGGGGGAGAATTAGGCCTCGCAAGTATTTTAAACTTTATAATAATAACTTACTTGGATACTTTCCCACATATTTGGCAAGTGAAGCGAGTTAGCAAACCCTCGTGTTGTGTTCTGTAATAAAAAAACAAATTAATTAATTTATTTATTTTATAAAAACAACGACTTACTCACGTGACATTAACTGAGAAAACCTCTACTACTTAGTATTAAAGATTCACACTTTAATCACACAAATATACAACATCCACACTCATTACACTAGAAAAATTTAACATTCAAACTGATTATACTAGAAACATTGAACATCCACACTCATTATACGAGACACATTAAACATCCACAGTCATTAAACTAAAAATATTCAACATCCACACTTATTTTACCAAAAATATAGAACATGCATGCTCATTCCACTGAAAATATTAAACATTCATACTCACTCACTCATTATATTAGAAACATTGAACATTCACCTCATTATCATACAAATATTCTACATCCACAGTTATTTCACTAAAAATATGAACATCCATAGTCATTACACTGAATATATTAAACATCTACTCTCGTTACACTGAAAATAATAATATTAAACATCCACACTCATTATCATAGAAACATTCAACATCCACACTCATAATCATACAAATATTAAACATCTACACTTATTTCAGTATAAACATTGAACATCCACACTCAATTTCATAGAAAAAATTAACATCCGCACTATTTACACAAAAAATATACAACATCCACACTCATTATATTAGAAATAATTAAAAGAAACTCACCTATAGTGCTCTATAATCGATGGTCTGTCGATCATCCGCCGTCCACAGACCAAACATTCATACCTTCTTGTGTGTATGAGTGAATGTACGCTAAAACTATACGACGTAGGCAGATACATGTGACATATCTTGCACTCGTAAGGTCCGCGGGACTGTGGAAGGTTAAGCAAATTATCAAGGTCGGGTTTTGGATGGGTGGCAATTTTTTTTTTGTTTTTAAATCTGTGAGTTCTTCGCACGGATACAATGCTGATACTAAATGTCTCCACTATTTAACGGATGTCATCCAAACTAATATTATACATGAGAATGTAACTCTGTCTGTCTGTCTTTTCTTCACGCCTAAACTACTGAACCGATTTCTGTGAAATTTGGTACAGACATAGTTTGTAAATTTGCAGAAGTCACTATTCCACGCGAACGGAGTTGAGGGCAAAAGCTAGTTATACATATAAACCTTCCTCTTCAATCACTCTGTCTATTAAAAAAACCGCATCAAAATCCGTTGTGTAGTTTTAAAGATTTAAGCGTACATAGGGATATAGGGACAGAGAAAGCGACTTTGTTTTGTACTATGTAGTGATACTTACTGGACTGTGTTTGCTCATATGATTTTGCAATTTCGACTCAAAATTGAAGCCCTTATAGCACAGATTGCATAAAAACGGATACTTCCGTCCATTTTTACTTTCCTCCTGAAATAAAAATATTAACATTTTAGTATCGCTGTCTCTTTCTTACGTTGTATGTTAGAATGAGATGGCATATCTTGCGAGGAGATCTCATCCAGCTAGTCAAAATCATTTATTTCAATTAGACCCATACAGGCACTTTTGAACGTCAAACAAAGCTTAAAGATATAAAGTGTCAGTGTCGGTCAGTCCTCTAGTGAAGCTATTTGCTCGTTCCAAAGTGTAGATTCCTATGGAGAAGAACGAGCAAGAAACTCCATGGTTACTCTTTTTCAATCAGTTTCACATACAGATTCCTTACAAACAGTTGGTTCAATTATGTGAGAACAGTGTAATATTTATTCAGAGAAATATAAAAAGAAAATAACCTTAAGGACAATAGACAGTCCGGAGCTGACCAGTCCCAACTGACGACGGCGCGTAAATAAATCTATACTAATATTATAAAGAGGTAAAATTTGTAAGTTTGCATGTAGGGTGTAATCTTTGGAACCGCTGGTCGGTTTGCGAAAATTCTTTCACTGATAGATAGCTACAATGTTCCTGAGTGCTATAGGCTAAAACATCACGATATGCTTACATGGAGCCGAGCAGCGGGTGAAAACGCTCGAGAGTAGCTAGTATATCTTATATATAAAAATGGATCGCAAAATGTGTTGGTAAGCGCATAACTCAACAACGCCTGGACCAATTTTGCTAATTCTTTTTTTGTTGTGTTTGTTACTGTCAGGAGAAGGTTCTTATCAAAGAAAATATTAGAAAAGTAGAGGGGAAGATTAGGTAAAGGTGACCCTTTGATAGTTGGACCCGGGAGAAGCGAGGGCGGGCCGCTAGTTAGATAAAAAAATATGTGGGGAGGTATAACTTACCTCTCTCTGTTTAATCTGTTCCTCTGGATTGAGAGTGACTATCCTTATCTTGGTGGGGTCTAATTCTATAGGTTTTCTGATTGAAGACTTGGATTCGTATTCGCCATCTTCTTTACTTGAATCGCTGAAAATATGAAATTTTAAAGGTCATCATCATATAGACTAAATTAAGTAAAAAATCGCGGGTTACTCACGTGTATATATTGAGAAAAGCTCTACTAGTTTCGAACAACAGAGGTTCGAAACTAAAAACCATAGAGTTCAGTAGGCTGCGCGACGTCGCCGCGTCCGCGCACGCTGCTCATGAGGAAGAACCCCTCTGTGGTTCGAAACTAGTAGAGCTTTTCTCAATTTATACACGTGAGTAACCCGCGATTTTTAGTTAATTTAGTTTGTCTCACGATAGTTATTATAAAAACATCATATAGACTTTTTACAATAATAATAACGGTTTGTGCCCCATTTCATTTATATTAAAGTTGTCTAAAGGGCCTCTGCGCTGTTGGCTCCGGCCCCTCGTATGCCTCCCAAATGACCGTGACCCTTTTTTTGTGAGGGGAAAATCAAGAAATGATTTCTCCTACCCAGATTAGGGCGGGAGGGAGTGTCAGACTCTTACTGACTAAAAACCCCCTGTTCCTTCTCCTGCTCTGGGCCGAGGTCGCGGTGCCTCATTGCGCTTACCCCGCAACCCCGGCTGAACATCATCCCTATAGGGCCCCGTCTGTGGTGGTCTATTGGTTCTTTGAGGCATGACCGGGACCCTGTCATCCCGTGATTGGTAAAGACTTAATAATAATAATTACGAGAACCTTGTAAAAGCCGAGTTAGATAAACTAATCAAATATATCGACTTCGACCTATCGACCGTCCTGGGCTCCTTAAGACCCTACCTTGACGGCCCGAGCCTCAATACGCCTCGGAGGTAATCACCAACTTTACACATTTGTCCCATAATGTAATATAATGAGGCTGGAGATTTATTCAAACGTTTGACCACTAGGATTTTCTCCTGTGTCGTGGGTGCGTTAACAAACATACAATTTCACATACACATCACACACAGACCCGGAACAACAATTTGTTGATCACACATAGAGTTGTTCCGTGCGGGAATCGATACTGCGAAATGTTGCGCGTCAATCGTTTAGCCAATTAGAATTATTATAATTATATTATATTATTATTATTTGTAGACAGGCAGGCAGTTGAAACAACTGATAATGCCCGCATCCTGTTAATTTCCACTAGTTCATTTCTTGCAGTTGAGTAAATATTTATCCAGTCGATTTTTAAATTGGTTCAAATTTAGGGCTGAAACCACATTTTCCGGGAGCTTGTTCCTCGCTGCAACTACTCTATTATTGAGAAAGTGTCTGTGAGGATTGTTATGTGATCTGTTAGTGCTAAGTTTTAAGTGATGGCCTCTAAGGTGGGTGTTTTCGTTGCGTGTGAACAGCTCAAATTATCAAATTACTTTTCAAGAGAGAGGGTGGAATCATCAAATGTCTTCTCCCGCCCAGGGTAAGGTGAGAGAGAGTGTCAGACTCTTACTGACTAAAAACCACCCTGTTCCTTCTCCTACACCGGAGAAGCTAAGCTCCGTAGCTGGACTATTTAAGTTTTAAAGAACCCACAAATTATAATACAACGAAATTAAAATTGCCACCCGCCCAAAACCCGACCTTGTCAATTTGCTTAACCTTCCAGTCTCGCGCTGTAAGAGTGCGATATATGTCACATGTACCTACGTGCCTACCTATAGTTTTCTAACACTCCGTTAAGATTAAGAGTCTGACACTAACTCTCGCCTTCCCTGGGCGGGAGAACTGGAGACGTCAAAAGTCGATACTAAATTTCTCCACTATTTAATTTATTAATTGATTGTAATTTTTAGCGACCCGTCCCGGCTTCGCATATGTGCAATGCTAACAATACTTTACTCCACTATTTAATGGATGTCATTATACATATAAACCTTCCTCTTCAATCACTCTATCTATTAAAAAACCGCATCAAAATCCGTTGCGTAGTTTTAAAGATTTAAGCGTACATAGGGATATAGGGACAGAGAAAGCGACTTTGTTTTATACTATGTATGTAGTGATAGACTTACGTATTATTATCTTTTTTCTTCTTCTTAACTTCTTTGGCTTTGGGCTTTCTCTTCTTGGTAGAAACGACTTCTTCTTTCATTTCTATCTGGTCGGTGTCTTGTAATAAACACGCTAAATCATCTTCCGTTATCTTATTCGCTACAGATCTGAAATTAAATTTATAATATTACTTAAACACTTAAAAAATGGCTTGTCCGTTTGTTTTTATGTAATAGGTCGGCAAACGAGCAGACGGATTACCTGATGGTAAGCAATCAGCGCCACCCATGGACACTCGCAACGGAGGACTTACGAGTGCGTTGCCGACCTTTTAGGGATTAGGGATTTGGAGATTTAGGAAATGGGGAGGGATTAGGGAAGGGGAAGGATTGGGCCTCCGGTAACCCCACTCACACGGCGAAACACAACGCTGTGGTTGTTTCACGCCGGTTTTCTGTGAGGCCGTGGTATCACTCCGGTCGAGCCGACCCATTCGTGCCGAAGCATGACTCTCCCACACTTAAAAAATGTTGGCCACTTTAATAATAAAATGGAAAATTAATTATCGTGTATTCAGTTTCTCCTTATTGCACAGGGCATTGTCATTGTCTTTTGCATTCTTAATATTAAGCAAAACATTTACTGGATGCATTTTGGAGAGTGTGCCCAGGAATTGCACGATTTGATTCCACCATCCGAATTTCACCCTCGGATGCGGCGAATATCCTCCCCTACGTTGTTGAGACACCTGCGGCCCGGACTAAGCGTTTTGCCTCGTCATTTATACCGCGTACATCGAGGGATTGGAACAGTTTGCCGGCTGCAGTCTTTCCGTCCGAATATAATTTAGGTGTCTTCAAGACTAGAGTGAATAGGCTCTTAATAAACTAGTGCGCCTTACCATCAACGATTGCATCACTGCTTACCATCAAGTGGGATCGCAGTCAAGCACTAGTTTATAGCAAGTAAAAAAAATACCAACATACATTTGATTCGATTTGATTTTTTCTGCTTATTTTTTTTAAAAAAAAAACGTTGCCCCACATTAGTATTTTCTCCTGTATCGTGGGTGCGTTTACAAACATACACATTTACATGGACATATCACACCCAGACCCGAAATAACAAATTGGTGGATCACACAAAGAGTTGTTCCGTGCGGGAATCGAACCCGCGACACGTTGTACAGCAGCCAGTTGCCCAGCCACCGCACCAACCGCGCAGTCAATAGTCAGACGTGATAGACCTATATACCATCCTTTTATACATTTTTTTAAGCAAAATTATATTTATTAACTCACCTAAATTCTTCCAACGTCATATTATCTTCATAATCTGAAAACTGAGTTTCTTCTTTAACATTCTCGTCTTCAATTTTACTTATTATAATATCATCTAAGGCAGAAAGCTGTTGTCGTTTTTCATGCTGAAATAGAGAGAAAAACACCTTTATACTGGGGTTGCAGACACAATTAGGTAGTTTCCTAGGTCAAAAATAAATTAAAATAATAAAATATTGTAAAATAACTACTCTCGCGCGGTTCCATCCGCTGCTAAGCTCCATTTGATCGTAGCGTGATGTTTTTTAGCCTATAGCACTCAGGAACATTGTAGCTAGCTATCAGTGAAAGAATTTTCGCAATCCGACCAGCGGATCCAAAGATTACCCCCTACATACAAACTTACAAATTTTACCTCTTTATAATATTAGTATAGATCTAGGTTTTGCCTGCGACTTTGTTCGCGTGGAATAGTGACTTCCTGCAGATTTTTTGTATAAAAACTATCCTATGTCCTTTTTCGAGTTCCAAACTATGTCTGGACCAAATTTCACACGAATCGGTTCAGTAGTTTAGGCGTGAAGAAAAGACAGACAGACAGAGTTACTTTCGCATTTATAATATTAGTTTGGATAACTGTAAGTACTTTTATTCATCGATCTGTCGATGCACAAAACGTTTGATATATTTTTTAAGTAATTTTTGAAGAAATAAGTTTTTAAGCTGTTTGACGCAAAAATACTATGACGTCAAAATTTGGAGTTTCATACAAATTTCATAGAAAAGTATCATTATTGACATTTGGATAAAAGTATTGAATTTGACTAGTTGGAAACTACCGTATTGATCTATAGAAGATAAACGGGTCAAATTGCTTAGTATACTTATTTAGACTAGTTTGTATAATGATTGCAACAGGAGAAAAAACGAGGGGGGTTTTAAGTCTCAAAATCACCCCCCTCCCTCCCCCGTTTCAAGAAGAGTCTGACACTCTTTCTTGTCTTACCCTGGGCGAGAAAATTCATTGATAAGTAATTCACTCACTAAGATCTACAGTAGATACAACCATGAAAACACCGGAACACTGAAGTCCGCCGCGTCCCAGGGACATGAATGACTGTCTTGGATCCCGCAACGAAATAAATCAAAAGATATTATGTTTATATATACATATTATTATGTTTTTTCTTGTTTTTTATGTAACCGTTGCCCCACACTAAGATTTTCTCCTGTGTCGTGGGTGCGGTTACAAACATACAATTTTACATACACGTGACACCCAGACCCGGAACAACAATTTCTGGATCACACAAAGAGCTGTTCCGTGCGGGAATCGAACTCGCAACATGTTGCACGGCAGCCAGTTGCCCAGACCGTGCAGTGAAAACACAATGCTGTCGTGGTTTCACGCCGGTTCACTTGTATCACTCCAATCCAGCCGACCCATTCGTGCCAAAGCTTGGCTTTCCTTGTCTTCGGCACTAAAAAGGCGGCCGGTCTACAGGCTACCTTGACTGGTTTCAAACCACGCACGGGGCCCATAATTATTTACGAGCGTAATGTGAGAACTTACCTCATAAACCTCGAACTGTCCAGCCTTCCCTTTGCCCACAATATCTATCGCAAGCACACTTGTGGTGCCAAGGTGTGGGCTTGCATACTTTGTCAACTCCTCATCCTGCGGTTCTATTGGGAACTAGAAAAAAAAACAGTACGTTTAAAAAAAAGAAAATATGCGAAGAAAGTTAGTTGTTTCATATGTCCATCTTACATTTTCATATCTTTTATGTGATCGGTGGGCAAATGATCAGACGGATTACCTGATGGTAAGTAATCAACGCCGCCCATGGACACACGCAACAACAGAGCAGTTAGGAGTGCGTTATAGACTTTTGGGGATTGGAGATTTGGAGATTTAGGGTTTGGGGAGGGGTAGGAATGGGCCTCCGGTACCGTTAACCTCACTCACACGGCGATATACAATACTGTGGTTGTTTCGAGTCGACTTTCTGTGAGGCCGTGATATCACTCCGGTCGACCCGACCCATTAGCATCTCCGGCTTTTCTCAATATTACACGTGAGTAACCCGCGATTTTTAGTTAATTTAATATGTCTTACGATAGTTATTATAAAAACAAAGAGCGGTGACTTAGAGAGCCAGCACTCCTAAACTTAAATTCGTTTTAATTAAATACTTACTATTTTATTATAGAAAAAAAAGCAGAATACCGGCGGGAAACAACCCAGCGTTGTGTTTCGCCGTGTGAGTGAGGTTACCAGAGGCCTAATCCCTCCCCTTGCCCAATCCCTTCCCGATCCTTTTATCCGCAAACCCTATCCCCAAAAGGCCGGCAACGCACTCGTCACTCATTTGGTGTTGCGGGTGTCCATGGCGGCGCCGATTGCTTACCATCAGGTAATCCGTCTGCTCGTTTGCCGACTTATACCATAAAAAAAAACTTTCTGCCCCGCACATCAAAACTTTGGAATGATCTTCCGGCGGCGGTATTCCTGAACCGATACGACCTTCAAACCTTCAAGAAACGATCGTACTCCTTCTTAAAAGGCCGGCAACGCATCTGTGCCTCCTCTGGTGTTGCAGGTGTCCATAGGTGCCGCCGATTGCTTACCATCAGGTAATTAGTGTGCTCGTTTGCCGTCCCATCACATAAAACAATAAAAATTATTGTTAATCTTGATAAAGTTTTTACTCACCGGAGCACATCGAGCAAGGTACTCGCACAGCATGGTGTGTGCCTTCTCGACCTTCTGTTTGAACCTGACAGATTTCTGCAACAATGCGCTGCATTCGTAGCAGAGCCATTGAGGTAACCCATCTGATTCCGTTACCTAGGCAACAGAAATATAGTGTATAGAGTGAGTTAGTCTTTTTTTGGTTAGATTTTGTGCAGCTATTGCGCCTGGTGATAAGCAATGATGTGACCTACGATACAATATTTGTTATTATAGATTTTTTGTTTGAATATAAACCAAACAAACAAACAAAAAGTATTTATTCGCGTCTGGGATGCATAAAAGACACAAAATGAGCAACAATAAAAATAAAGGTAAAAATAAAAATACATTAAGAATGATAATAAATATATAATAATAATAAAAAGGTTGACTGTTAGACAATGCCTAAAGGCATTAAGTCCGCCTGTACATTCTTTTGTATAAAGTGTATAAATAAAATAAATAAATAATACAATACAACAAATGTAGAGGGTAGGAGAAATATGGTAATGTGATAACTATGTGTTGATTTCTAAACATATTTTTGTGTTGGATAGTAGATATTTTCATAATTTTTGGACTTTATTTATTTATTTATATAGACTTTATTGTACACATTATTCAAAAAATTACAAAGAGCAGGCTTACATCTACAGAGTGTAGAATGGGCCTTATCACACAGGGTGAGTTGTTGAGTTCTTCCAGGATATTACTGGCTATTTTTAAAACAATGATTACCATTAAAGGACAAAATTATGCTACGACCAAAAGGGGCCAAGCAACATGTAAAATCATGCAAGAATAGCTAGTTCTATAAAGCTTATTACATCGTATTTCAGATGAATGAGGATCTAATTATTTTTCTATTACAAAGAAATCTGTATCACTCAGTTCTACGTTATTTCAGTCAATACAGTGTTATTACAATCTTCGCGTACTTGTATGGTATAATAAAACGAAATATACAATAGTAATATGAAAAAAAAAATCGATAAAAAAGCTTAACCTCATCAATAACTCGGTCAACAGATATTTCAAGTTTTTAACGCGTGCCAAAGTAAGATATTTAAAGAATACTTAGGTGGCAACTCGAGTAACAATTATATTGCCACAACAAACAATTTTTTATGAAAATTCTACGCGTATCGGTAGAAATACAGATTAAAATTGTGATCATAACAAAATCACATTAACCTCGAAAAATCGTGTTAAATGCCTTTGGAATGTCAAGATATACCTGGAGTAATGCAAAAGGAGTTTGATTTAGCAGTTCAATGAAGTAATACTTACGTTTAATCCAGCTAAATCCTTAAATAGCTGCTTGAAAGACACGACGTTGTTCATTCGTTTATCAGTGGTTAAACAACACCTGCATATCGTTTTTGGATGATCAAAATCAAGTTTAACATCATCTTCGTTACCTAAACTCACTGTTTCCATTTTAATTTAATTACTTTTGTGTTTAAAATTTAAATTGAATCGCAAAGCTAGTGGAGACAAATAAAACAAATTTCGTCTGACATAAACAACATGGCGTCAAATTTGACAGGATAAGCTTCTTTTACGTTTAATTTGTTGCATGTGCATTTTGTATTTCAATCTAGAAAAATAATATTTTACCAAAATTTTTTTCTATTTGATTAAATAGTCATTAATGTTTCTAAATCTGTGATGAGCACTGATGCAGGCCAACTTACGACTGAAGACAAATAGCTAAGTTTATCCCAATAAGGGTATAATCAACGGATAAGTTCGCTCGTGGGTTGCTCGCACATATGCGAGAGTGCTCACACACACTATTCAGCTTTGCCAAGTGCAGACGCGGGAATCACGAAGAAAGCACGCGATTTTTCTCTCAGAAGTTGTGTGTGATTTTGACGCTTCGACTGTGTGATAGAATGAATTGGCTTTTACTCTTCCTTGAGGTGCCTTAGGGTCTAACTGTGGAACTTGACACTTGAGGGAAGCAATATCAAGTGTTAGATTTTTGCCCCCCTAACGCCGGCACTGCTAATTCTTAGGGACTGTAATGGATGGAGTGGGATGGAGATGGTCCTGCTAGCCAAGTGCGAACAATATTCAGTTATTGCAGATTTATGATTATCTCTATTTTTTTATTTAGTACTGTTCGGTTCCTACAGATCGTAGCGTGATGTTTTATCGCCTAAAGCCTTCCTCAATAATTAATGGTCTATTAAGCACAACAATATTTTTTCATCTCGAACCAGTAGTTACTGAGGTTTCCGCGTTCAAACAAAGAAACAAACTCTTCGGCTTTGTAATACCTACCTATAATAAATTTAGATTTTGCGTTTTTTTGGTTATTCAATACTCAATACTCAATATATTTATTGCATTCCACAATGTGAACTTAGGTGGTAGGGTACATAAGGATTTACATACTTATATTAGTTTAGGAGCATTGTGGGCCCTGTCGGGCATAACAATAGTAGTAATTTTTATGAGGAGGGCTAGTATAAATATATGTTTACAATTCATTTGGCCGCTATCTCGCCTGGTTGTATAAAGCGATGATGCGACCTACAATGGTACGGGCTAACCCATATTCATTCAAACATTAGCAATGAATTCCACTCTGCGGTTCTGATAATAAAACTAAACGCTTCGTTGGTGTGAGTTGGATAGGTATCCAACAGTCCAGCAGGAAGCGATGACGTTTTGCCGGTTGGTGAAAGGATAGATAGATAAGGCGGAAACAGTCGTGCAGGTCTCCAGAAAATTATTCAAATGTAACCGATCAAAAACCAAGTCTCGTAACTTTGCCCCTGTTTATCGGGGGCTGTTAATGTGTGTGATAAGTTATTTTTTTTGGTATAGGGCAAACGAGCAGACGGTCTACCTGATGGTACCTAAGTAATCAGCGCCGCCCATCTGCATCGCCGGAAGGAGCGCTGCCGACCTTTTAGGGATAAAGGTTTCGGATATTTCAGGGTTTGGAAGGGGTGGAGGCGTGGAGGGAGGGGAAAGGATTGGACCTCCAGTAAACACACGCACACGGTGTAACAAAACGCTGTGGTTCAGCGCGTCAGCCAATCTTCAGCGACGAATAGGTCGGCTCGACTGGAGTGATACCACGGCCTAACAGCGGCGTGAAACAACCACAGCATTGTGTTTCGCCGTGTAAGTGAGGTTACCGGAGGCCGGGAGGCCCAATCCCTTCACCCCCCAATCGCTTCCCGATCCTTGAATATTTATTTCTTTATTTTGTGAAACCCTTATCCCCAACTTATCCCTAAAAGGCCGGCAGTGTTGCGAGTGTCCATGGGCGCCAGCGATTGCTTACTATCAGGTAATCCGTCTGCTCGTATGCAGAATAATCCCATAAAAACAAAAAAAAACAGTGATTGCAGTCACGACAGTGATAACTTAATTGTATTGTGAAGTATACTGAATCAGATGAAATCATGTACATAAACATTATTGTTGATAATTATATAAAAAAAATTACATCAAGTTTGATAGTTTCCCGCCCTTTTCGAGAAAAAAGAAAGAGGTTATAATAAATGAAACAAAAGAATAGCTTCACATCAAAATATTTATATTTACAATAAATATACCATTTCAGATAAAAGTAACATAGTTATAAATGTACCCAACGCACTTTTCAGTGACTAATTTTTCAGTAAAAGTACCTACTTACAGCGAAAACATAACGACAATACGTATTGCTGTATTCAGAGCCATCTATTGATTAGTTTCTTAATTACCAAATACCTAGGGATAACAAATAAAAAAAAATGAGTGGTAATTTTTTTTCACATTTCAATTCATAATTTAAGACAAAAAACATTTACGATAAAATTATATACCTAATTCAATGTCATTTGAATAGTTACTGTGGTGAGACATAATAAATTTATTGAAAAACTGAAAAAAACACTAGTTTCAAGTCACAACAGAGGGCCTACCATGACGTGAATCTTCTGGACGAGAAAGAGGGATGGAGAGTAGTTAGAAAATAGGGCATCCAGATCAGAGATCTGGATACCCTATTTTCCACATTTTAATCTTCTACTAACATATTATTTTAATCTGTTTCTTGATCATAATATTCAGCGGTTAAATTAAATGTTATTGTGAAAACTTCATTTAAACTCAAACAAAAAACCAGACCAGAACTAATATCAACTTGTCTGTGTGGGAATTGAACCCACGACACTTCGTCTTTGTGGTTGAAGAACGTGTTATAATATTGCACTCAGTTGTGACCAGGGTCTTAACCATTAAGCCAAACGTGTCGTCGAATATGTAACAAAATAGCGAACCGCTTCATGCACTTTGTTTACATTAATGAGACGTATATTGTGTGACATCATTCATTCGATGCGCTTCCATATATGCAAGATTTCTCACTAACACAATTCTTGATGATGTTTTGCCACTTATTGACATATTCCCCCCCTTTCACCGCGTTCAAATAAAAACACTGTGGAAAATTTATAGCATGCTGCATCCAAGGATCATCATAAATTTCCCAATCTTCTATAACGCCTCCACATGAAAAACATGCTGCTTTATCATATGGATTATTTCCGTAATAAAAGAATCCAGCATCAGCCATTTCCATCACTAATCTTTTCTTTGAATTATTCGTCCCCCAGTAATAATTAAAGGATAATTCACGTATTTTGTATGCATTATACATATCATATCGAGGTTTATATTCAGTTTGAAACATATTTTATTTATTTGGTACTAGTTCTTGATGCTAATAATTATAAACATAAAATGACATTGCTTTAATGCTGCAAGCAATTTATAAACGTGATTGTACAGGATTGGGAGAGATAGTAAACATATTATAAAAAATTAAACAAGTTTTTTTTTATTTCATAAAAATTTTATTATCATGGCACCATTTATTTAAACACAATATATTTTTTAAAGCACATACAGAGTTATGATAAATACAATTATACATATCTTGCGAATGTTTATATTGATCATATAAATGTACTAAACTAGAACAACCCTTATCTTCTAAATTAAATATATTACTATTACTATTTTCTAAAATATGCTTTAACCATAAAACTTTTTCTGAACCTTTAACATAAACACATTTATCTCTTAATATATCGGAAACCAAAGTCTGGTAATTGGAATAAGGTACAAATCCTTCACTCCAGTATATCTTTTTGTTACGTTGAATCCAAAGAACTACCTTCTTTTCAGATTCCGTTAAATTTTTAAATGGAAATGGTGGCTTAACTAAAAACACTTGTAGTTTTTTGTTACACAATATAGCGATTTCTTTTAATATAAATTCACCTGCTTCTGTTCTAAATCCTTGAATATCAACAACAGCAATCATGATAATCTGCGCACAATGTTGCTGAGAGGTTTGTATTCCACAAGTCGATCGTTTATAATCAAACAATACGCAGTTGTCTTATCTGGTATTGGTGTGGAACATTCAACTTCTAACCGCACGTCCACTGGACCGGTTTTTAAACTATCGTTTTGTCTTGAGCAATCTAAGATGAAAAGGGGAGCCTTTTCTTTAAAATCTGTTAGATCTAGCAATGGGTCAACAGGACTGTTGTAATACGACTGACGAAATTTCACATACATTTCATATAATATACTGTACTTGTTCTCAGAAAACTTTAAACTCAAAGGTTCGTAGGGATAATATTGCGAATTCAAAAAGAGTGTTACGTTGGTCACTTCACAATGATCGAATAGTGAACTGTCTTTAGTCCTATTATTTCTCCTATTAGTTTGCAAGCAAAATATAACATATCTAGGCTTTTCCAATTGTGAAGCTGTTTTAACTGACCAAGAATGCTTTGTAGTTTTAGGTAGCAAGGGATACTCATATAAATCCCAATTTCTAAAAGCCATCTGAATAGGTTTATCTCTTTCTAAATGTTTTAAAAGTGTTAGTCGTTCTCGATCTGACACTTTTATATGTGGCACCCTCCATTGGACTCTTTGTATATCTATTTGAAAATTAACAACATCATCAGTGAGAATAACACTATTTAAGTTAGAGTTGCTTCTACTCAAAATAAGTTCGTGTTTACAATTTATCACAATTTTATTGTAATCTTCTGCAAACCCTAAAATCTTATTCAATGGTATCACAGCACTAAAATGTCCATCATTTTGGAATCCCGCTAAGTTCCAACCCCATAAGGCTGCAACTTTATTTTCTGCTTCATTTAATGAAATGTATGCTTTTATTGTTGACGTAATTCCTGAATTTTTAATACGGTCTATTTCGATACCATTCATTTCGTATCTGATGTCTTGAAACAAAGACATAACAGGGTTATTAGTGAACGTAACAGTTTTCTTGATCGGATTCCCATCTTTACCGAACAGCCTTGCCTGTCCTTCGATGTAAATTGAACTGGCTGATGGTAGCACGTATATATCTTGCTGATGTATGGGGATTCTGATTTCATCGTTTTCTCTAAAGCTGTTATTGTAGGGATTGTACGAATGGATTTCATAACTTTCAATCGAACTGTCGAAATGCGGTAATTCAGTAATCTGTA